ATTGTATCATTCTTCATTACAGTTATCTTCTTGATTAATGCTTCATTTGCCTCTCCGTTGCTCAATGATTTTACAATGAAACGGGTGTGCTAAACTGTGCTCTACTTTAAAGGAGCAGCGAGTTAACGAATGAAAACTTCAAGGGACTGTGTGCTCAATCTCGTCTCGAGAGGTCGCGTTCCCATACTTCGTTGTGGGCCAATAATCCCTTTCCCCCCGTCCCCCCTCACACGACCTTTGAAGATGAGGTTGGACTGCACGCAGTCCAACCCAGATCGATGGATTGGCAAACCAGGAACTAGTTCGAAACATTTTAGACCCTGTGCGCGCGTGAAAGTGACGGTGAGGAAATATGTCAAATTTGATCTTCTCCGTGAAGGATCGAACGCATGAATTCAGTGAAGGAAATCAGGCGTAGTCAGGAGTACAGAAGAGATCACGCTTTTTATTTTTCTATCGCAGAAACACTCCTGTTTTGCTGGAATCTATAATGTTTTGTTTATTGACGTGTGATCAGTTTACTGCAGGAAACGAACCCCCCGAGATAAGAAGGCAAGGTAAAGGTTTCTTGACATAATGGTAGTTAGGTTGTTATCGTAGAAGAAGTTTGCGGTTTTACCTCTTGTTTAATACACTTGAAATGAAGTGCAATAATTGTTCATGATGTAGTTACTGCCTATCTGGATCGCGGCATGTCGACTGCATACTGCGAGTCTTTTAAAATAAGGTTGTTTTTTTTGGGTAAATATACAAAAAACAGGTCTTGAAGTATAGGCTAAAGTAATGAGATTTTTATTGTCGTAATAGGTATCTATGTATCAGCTCTATTTATAGAGAGTGACAACGGCCAGTTAAAAACTGAAAAACTTGCGGCCCTTAGTAGCTTTTTTTAATGTACTCGTTGTTTGCATGATGGGATTTGAGGACGCGAACATTACACACCAAGACATTTAGACATCCAGGAAAATCTTATGTAATAGAGCTGTTACAGACAATTTTGTGAAGATAGTCAAGTCTTTTCTTGATCGTAAAATGACGAAGTTCATAACGTGTCTCCGGTTACGTAGAATAAATCAAAGAAAGAAAACAATGGCTGCGGATACGGATACGGATTGTGGCAAATGTTAATAGTTATTGAAGGTGAATTTTTAATGAGGGGCATATAATAGTAAATCTCCTTTCTTCTTCATTTCAGCCACTGAAATTCTACGTTTAATGGTTGGAGCTTGTAAGAAAACGCCGGAAATGAACTCCAGGTATAGAACTTGTTGTTCCCTTCAGGTACTTTTTTATTAAGTATTTAAAAAGTTGCGTATTTAGAGGGTTGATGTTGACACTTTTGGATTATTTCCTTGTTTTTCAGGGAAGTTCTTTTGCCTCACTTAAGAAATTTCTTGTACAGTAAAATCACTCTGTACCAGGTAAGATTGTCTAAAATTACAACTAGGGGCAAAAATTACAACTACATAGGAAAAAGAACCAAAGTAACATTCCATTTGCCGTTCGTTTCTTTTATGATAAAGGTTTTCTAACTGACTGTGTGTGTCGCAGGTTCAGTATCAGTATGCATATTCTCCAAACTGTTCTCTATACATTCCCTAAGGTGCTGACGAGGAGATTATGTTTAACAATCAGGAGCTTCTTCAGTTGGTGATCATTTCCTTTTTTCTCATGACCTTAATGTTTAATTCAGGGTGATGTTGTAAGGAGAAATTAGATGCTGGTCACTCTTTGGGTGAAAGGGTTAATCAGCTGCAAGCTGATGAGTGAAAAAATTTGAATATTTTTTCTCTTCACCAATCGTTAGTCGATAATTCATTTCCGCGTATTTTATCTGACGTCATAAAACCTTACGTGCTACTCCTCTTTTTTCAGGGTTTAGTGTTTAAAACACTTGAAAGTCTTGTCCTATTGGACCTAGAACTCGTCACGGCGTTGATACCCGCTGGTAAACAGGCCGTGAAACAGCTCGAACAAAAGAGGGGAGTGGGAACTGACATGCAATTAAGGTAAGTTGATTACTCGTCGCCTGTACAACCCCCCCCCCCCCTTCCCACTCCTCAAGGCCCTCCGATTTTCTTTTGGAGGGTGGGGGTGGCTCTACACAGGCTAATTACTTGTGTTTTTTTTCTGCAATCTATGAAAAAAGTTTATTTCTCCCGAATTCCTTGTATTATTAGGATCCAGTTTAATTATTTTTGTCTTTTTTGCATTGTGTGCCACAGATCTTCGTTCAAGTCATTTCTAAGTAAACTTGGACACAGCGGCGAAGAGGCAATCAAAGATTTCGAGAAGGAAAATGTGGACACACAACATTGAATATATCCTGATAGCAATGGTTTTAACACAAATGCTCTCGAATAAAATTTTACGAAAGTTAAAGAGAAA